AGATATGGAGTTTGTGTGGTGCTGTCCCCCTGCAGAGCCTGACCCCTGTGTGTGTCCCCAGGGCAGAGGCAGCTGGAGCAGCAGAGCGTGCAGAGGCCGTGCCTGGCACGGCACACAGTCCCCCTGGGGGCCCTGAGCACAGCCAGGCTCGTGCTCCCCATCCCCGGGGGGCACAGCCCCCCGCGCCCGGGCCTGGGCCCCCAGGACACCTGGCCCCGGGAGGTGGACAGGAAGCTGGCAGCAGAGCTGGCCAAGCTGCACGTTGATGCTGAGGAGGTGGACCAGGAAGAGGTGGGTCTGAATGGAGTATAACACACTTGTAACAGTGCTGCTCCATCTCTGGGAGTGTTCCAGGCCAGGCTGGATGGGGCTTGGAGCAACCTGGGCTGGTGGAAGGTGTCCCTGCCCATAGCAGGGGGTGGGATGAGATGAGCTTTAAGATCTCTCCCAACCCAAACCATTCCGTGTCTCTGTGATTCTGTGTTGCTTGAGGGGTCCCTGTGTGTGCTGGCAGTCCCCAAACCCTTCCTGTGTTCTGTTAAACAGGATAAGAGCAGCTGATGCGCCTGTCCTGGTGGAAAGGTGAAGCCAGGACACAGCATCCTCATGAAGCTGCATTTGCCTGCAGGATCGTTGTTCTTGTGAAGTGACATAATGAAAGAGATTGTTGTATCATGCAGAACCTGTGTGAGTGTGGTCACAACTGTCCAGCAGGGACTTGTGTTCTCCTGTGAATTGAACTCAGCGCTCAGAACATGCTCTTTGTTTCCTCACAAAGCTTTTCCCTGTGCAGTGCTAAAACATGTCCCTTCCCTCCTGTTTAGATGCAGAATTCCCTCAGGTCACTGAGGAACAGTGCAGCTAAGAAAAGGGCAAAGCTAAGCAGCAACTTTGCAGAGCTGGAGAGCCTTGAGTGTGCTGTGAGAGCTGATCCTTGTGGGGACTCTCCCTCCCTTGGAGCTTCCACGAGCACCACGTCCTGCACGGAGAGTGGCATTTACAGCCAGGAATCACCAACCTCCCCCGTGGCCTCTGTGCCCCACAGGAGGAGAGTGATGTGAGTGTTACCTCAGCTTGGAACCCTCATGCAGCCCCTGCTGCTCTTAGTTCAACAGAACATTGAATAATATATTTTTATATACTATTTCTTTGCTTAATATGTGGTTTTTCTATGTGGATTATTTTCCTATCTAAAACCCACAAGAGTTGCTTTATATTATCCTAGTATTTTGTGGCTTTTAAGATGAAGGAGTTGCCTGTGCAGCTGGAGTAGCCCAGGGCAGGGAGACACTGCCAGGGTAGTAAATATTTGATGAAGGCTTTAACCTGCCATAGAGGGTACATGACCTGGAGCTGAACAGGTGAGGAAGGAGAATGAGCTAAGAGGAAGGATAAGGTTGGCTTATTGTAGGCTGGAAACTGAAGAAGGAATGGGTTGGGTGTTGTCATAAGGAGAAGACAATGTGGATATTTGTTACTGTGAATCAGGAACTGTTACCATTTCATTAGTGACAGATAATTGTTAGTTTAAAAAGCCTTCACAGAGAACTTCTAAGTAGAAATTGTGTGATGACACTTGCTGCTCTGATTGCAAAGAGCAATGACCCAGCTGGTTATGAGCAACATAAACTATTTGTTAATGAAATAAAAAAGGTTTTGAGGAATTCGGCAAATTTTCCAGTTCAGAATATCTTTTTTCCTTACTTCATGAGTGTATCCTGAATTTATTCCTAGTGTAAGGTTTCCATTTGGGGGTTGTCTTTATGCTCCTCTTCGTAACAGACCTGCTTATCAAATAATTCCTACTGAGTTCTTTTTCTACTCCGTGTAAGCATTTGTGGAAATATTTGTGCACTGAGAATCTGAACTCTGCAGTTGCCCTTGCTACAGAGTGTTTTTAGCTGTGCTCTGACCAGAATTGTACCTTATGTTTATTTGAACAGGTCAGACACCTTCCCTCTTCTTGGCAGCAAGCCCCAGCCTGCAGGAGTGTCTCCAGCAAGGCCCAGAGACCCAAACGTGGCAGGACATCAGTCCAGCACAGGTATTTTGCTTGTCAATACACACTTGCTTCGCTGAGGTGACTGCTGTTGCAGTGAGGTACAGGAAACTGCAGATTTCTAACAGGCAGAAACCAGTTTTTTCTGATCATTTATGTTTGATCAGTTTGGATTCAGTTGGATGGAGGAAAACAATGGAGGGAGCTGTGCCCACAGGGTGGATTAGCAAAGGGATTTTCCAAGGCACAGCATAATCAGGGAGCAAATCCTGCCCGTCCATAGTTGTACCTGCTGTGGTTAAGGATTCTGCATTCCTTGGATGAAAAGACTTTTGTAAGGAGTTGACCTTCAGTGTAAAATAATGAGCAGCACATTTGTTTTGCTCATCGAGCCAGTTAATCAGGCCCAGCACTGGCCCTGCTAGGAGGGGCTGACAGCCTGCTGGTAACAGCACAGAATCCCAGGGTGGGCTGGGCTGGAAGGACCTTAAAACCCATCCAGTC